AAGCAGTGGTATCAACGCAGAGTACTATAAGCCAGCTAGTACTATCATATAATGGATAAGCAGAAAAAACTCGAGTAGAAATGAAAACTAAGAAAGCGGCTCTGTATCTTAAAAAAGTTGCTGAACCACTGCCGCACAAGTCGTACATACAGGCTGCCTCAAAAAATATGTGCACATTCTTTGATTTTTATTAACTTTCTTCTGTAGGGAAAGCCCAAAACTTGACACAGCGCCAATCGGCCAAGTTCGGCCGCTCCATCTTACCCGCCCACGAAGAGGGTATAAAAAGATATAAGTCCCGCCCACTTGGCTCTTGTGCGACAGTATGCCAGCTTTGGCTGGCGTTCTTACCATCATGCTGAGGTGAGCCTTCAACCCCAACCCCCATTCATTTACTTCCCCTTTCCTTTTGTCTGTTCTCTTCATCTTTTTAATAGTTTTCTCTGTAATGTGTTTCCTGTGCCTCTTTTGTATTCCCGGTATATCCTTTCGTGCCTCTTCTATATTGCTTGCCTTTGCACCATGTCTCGTGGATATAATGATGAAATCTTAGTCATAACTGTGTGCTGTAGAGAGAAGGAGTAACTAAAAGAGAGGTCACATACGTAAGCGTTACTGGACAAAGTCGTCCCAACAAGCCTAAAACTTTATTTTATTACACGGCGGTTCCGCGCTGGGTTTTCTAATCTCTGACACTCAGCAAAAGAACTCACATTTTCATATACATCGCGCATGTCACAACTACGCCCCCTTTTAACGCAAGGCCAACATGAAACAAATTATGTGACAGGAACTTTCGCTCAACCTATATACATTTTTCATGAGCGTAGGAAAAGCCTGGCCAGGTAACTAGCGACAACCCTTGCGTATAAAATTAACGAATTGAATGCGAACTGATAAGATGGACGATAGATGGGTGGACGACAAAGCCGACGCCTCCCACGTTTCGTGATGGCACCTTTTCACCACGAATGATGAGGGTCCCATCATTGATCTGTCGCACGTCGGCCGCCAAAGCTGGCATACTGTCGCACAAGAGCCAAGTGGGGCGGGACTTATATCTTTTTATACCCTCTTCGTGGGCGGGGTAAGATGGAGCGGCCGAACTTGGCCGATTGGCGCTGTGTCAAGTTTTGGGCTTTCTCTACAGAAGAAAGTTAATAAAAATCAAAGAATGTGCACATATTTTTTGAGGCAGCCTGTATGTACGACTTGTGCGGCAGTGGTTCAGCAACTTTTTTGAGATACAGAGCCGCTTTCTTAGTTTTCATTTCTACTCGAGTTTTTTCTGCTTATCCATTATATGATAGTACTAGCTGGCTTATCCGGCTCCGCCTGGCCCTGTCAACACTATGATAAGGGTCTCATTCCTGTCTTCATCCTTTCCTCTTCCAATGTTTCAGCTGCCATTGATTGAGAGAATCTTGTAGTACGACTTGCTTCAAAGCGTGCCTCACGCTGTTCAGACGTCTCTCCTGCTTTAATCTCTCTGATCCTCTTAGCATTGGGATCAACCCGTCCAATGCTTGCTTTTTTCCTTAGTGGCATTGTGATAGCTGTCAAAAGTTAGGATATTTTTTCTATTATTTCTCCCATCAAGATTGCTCGGCTACCACGAATGTACGCGTAAGCATTGCGAAATGGAAGCAGCCGGTAGTACAATACTGAAAATCATTTTTTATCGCGCTTCTCGCTATCCGGTGGCTTAAGTCCGCAATCTGCCACTATTCCATGAGAATCCGACAATATTCTTTCTGTTCGTCATCAATCCAGTAATGCCAAAAATGAGTTAACACAATTTTCGAACTACTATAGTCTTTACTACTACGGTTTCTGTGTTGATGGATGTTCAAAGAAAGGTTTAAACTTTTCACTTTACTAATTATTGGATCATTAGAGAGATTTGCAAAGTGGGTCCGTTTTACTTCAAAAAAGCTGTTTGACTCGAAAAAAACCCCCGCGCATGAGCTTGCGGAAAGACGTAAAGGCTAAGGCAGAGCGACGTAGAATTAGTTGAGAAGGGGCGAACTAAGCGCGCGTATCTTCACCGTTGCGAACCCTGCGCTTCTTACGTTCTACGGCTATTGAAGCCGCATTCCGGCCAAAGGAAATGCGCCTTCGTAATGCAGTAGCCTACACACACCTCAGCATGAATCATACATTATTTTCTATCATAAACGAAGACCTTCTCAAAGTGCGCTTTTTTGTCACTATTTGCTTGCAGAAACTTAAAATAAGATGTACTGCTGCTCTACACCTTACTCAAGCAAATGATCCCATAAGCTTCATTTTTCTCGATGTAAGTAAACAAATATCGATAGAAGGACCCAGTGACTCGCCGTGAAAAGTAGCCTATGACCTGCGCCGTGGCTTGTTTATAAAGGAAAGAATTTCAGCCTTTTAGGTCCACTTACAAGGAAGGCCCGTTTGGTCGAAGAAACCTTTTCACATAAAACTGAACGCCTATAAAGAACATCGAACGCTAATTCTAAATCTGTCTCCGTATATGCCCAGCGCCTTTAAACGCCGATTTATGAGCGTTTTTCGAGTCTAAAGATTGAATGCATAATTGGAACAAAATTTGTCGAAATTGCTTAAATGCTCCATTGTTGATTACCAGAGCATTCCATTTGAATAATACCTTTTGCCCGAAACACTCATACTTA